AAGATTTCAAAAATATCAATTAGCAAAAATTAAATCATCTTTTATTTTGGAACCTGTGAGCAGATTTAATCTCTGCCTTCTTCTATCAGAATAACAGTTTTTAAAAAAATTATCAATTCATGTGATAAAGGAGATAACGTGGTATTTATTTTATCTGAGCTATCTGATTGTAGTTTGAACAAAATGTAATTTTATAAACAACCTTTAGCTTCTGTATTGTTGTCACCACGTGGCGTGTCGTTACCAATAGGACAGATGCTGCGCCTGCTGACTCATAAACAGCCATTGGCGTTACTTCGAGATTAATTCAAGGGCAATTCGCTGATAATAAATAACTTCCAGAGAAATGACATTTAGGAAAGAGAAGCTGAAGATGCTTCAGTTAATTCTAAAAATTGCAAGTGAAGCATTCACGTGTTTCTCATAATATTATAGAAAAAATATCTTCATACTCCTTAATTCATGAGGGAAACTTTTTAGTTTTGTTTATGATATGGCAATAATGTATACGGCGGATGCTTGGATTGATTCAAAACGTTAGTAGAAACTGATTTTCAGACGACTAAGAAATCATTTACATGCAACAAACTGATATTGAATATTAAATGAACTTATAGAAATTTAACTCAACTAATAAATATAAATAGTGATAAAAAATACTTGAATAGTAGTGATGTGAAAATACTTTTCCTCCACAATAACTAAATACTGTCTTTCAACGCGCTTTTTGTGTCTGACATTATCGAAAAGGCAAATAAATTCAATACCTTTTTTTTCAGAACACGCAAAAATATGAGTCGGAAAATCCTAAAAATAAATATATCACATGACTCTTCAAACTATATTATACCTAGTGTCAGCCAAACCATTTTTGTTAACTTATAAAAACTAACTAATAATAAAAAACAAATTTATCTCCAAGACCGGATAACATCCTCAAAAACCTAACAACAGATTCATCCTCACATAATTTTTCACAGTAAACAGAACAATCTCTCGAATGAATAACTTTACCAAAATATTTGAACATTATCTTACCTTAAAATTCGTCTCTATAAACAATAAATCATATCTGATGGACAATTCGGAATATTGAAAATGGATAATTAATTTATTAGTCACAATGTCTAACAGTGTTTTTAATCTGGCCAAGTCCAAACAAATTGAACAATTATAGCATTCGAGAGACTGGATCAGATTACCTGAAAAACTACTTATCGGGGAGAATTTAAGTCAAAGCTGGAATTGGAACACGCAGCGATTTGGTTATGAAAACCGATGTGCCAAAAGGAAACGGTTTCAGGAGCTCTTCTGTTTTTAGTTCACATCAGTAGTATAACACAAAAGTAATAACTTTGAAAGTAATATACTATATGATGCTGATGACTTTTCTTTTATTTTCACAAACTCCACTTGACTAAGGGTCAAAAATACACTGGTTGAACAAAAATATGTTACCATTAAATATTAGTAAATATTGGTGTGTTGCTTCTTCCCCACAATCAGATATCAAATTATGCATCTCACGATCAAATTACAAAATCGGTCATCTGATAAGAATAGATATTTTAATTACCAGTCATTGGAAAAATGTAAACCTTCAATGAATCTATAAAATACCTTGGAGTAAGACTAACACCCATAATGAAACGAGCACATGAGCTGTAGTGCGAATAGATTATGAGTATCAATATCTAAATGTTATGATTTACTTGACATTCTGTTATATTATTCACGAGTTGAGTCAGTTATAAGTTATTGTATTCCACCTTGGGGAGTTGCACATAATACTTATCTCACACCTTTACAAGCTGCTTGAAATCTATTGTTCAGTTTATATCTGTCAGTGCCTTAAAAGGATGTTTCATAAACATAAAAAATATCGGATCTGCATCTCCGAAAAACACTGGATTGAAGGCAGGTTCTAATATCGAAATACATTTTTTCACAAAAATGCTCTTCTAATTTTTTTTATTCTATGAGCTAAAACTATACAATGCTCTGTCCAAAACTTCGAAGAGATATCTAATTCCAAACATTTTGAAAAGGAAACTAAGAAATTTATTTTACTTGAAAAAATCTGCTAAATCGTACAACTATTTATCTTCAATCATAATCATCATTCATAACCATCATCCAGTCTCTTCTCCTTTTCAACATTATATTTATTACAAAATGTCCCTATTTGCTTATAAACTTTTAATAAAAATATTTGTACAAGTGTGTGATATTACTGAGTTTGTAAGACAGTCTTTACAGCCTATTGTGAATTATTTTAACCGAATTCACTTTTCATATGATGAAAAATCTACTCACAAAATTTTGTATTTTTTCTGAAAAAATTCCGTTGAATTCAGTCTGTTGAGTATCTTGGACTTATAATGGAGAGATCTTAAAATGCTAACTCTGTAACGAAAAACAATAGATTACTACATGGCAGACTCATTCAGAAGCAATTAATTTTGTACTAATTCAGTCTATTTTTTTTTTGTTATGGTATTTTGGTTTGGAAGTAATTCTTGACTGCCGCCTTTATCAAACATCAATTTAAACATATAGAACTAATGGTAAATTTCTCACAATGTAAAACAAACATTGAACACAGAGCTATTCTATCTGGGCCAAAGTTATTAACAATGTTCCTTCATAATTTTAATGCATGAGAAACTAAATGTTAGACTCAATCTCACAATAATACAGCGAATAAACCCCAAAAATATATTAACAACGACTGATTATAAACAAATATATAATCTCACAATGGAAGCTAGCACTCTACTGCCGTTATTCGTGTTTCGACTCGCCGGGATGACAAATCCCATTTCGTAACAGTCACAGTTAGTCATCCTCTATTGCTTCTACGTTCACAGGGTGTTTTATGATACTGGGTATCTTACATAAAATGCATTCAAAAATATTCTGGTTTCATGTTTTTGATTTTTAGGAATTAGTTTTGTCAGAATATAAATTCAGGCATTGTGGCTTGATCATCAAAAATTAACGGTAATATTTTGCATTCGGTATTGTAACATCTGTTCGTGTTAGAGATGGAATTATCAGTAGAAAACTGAAATCTGCATTTGGTGTTTACACATATGGAACTCTGCTAAGCAAAAAATGATTCCGAACTCGTCTGAGCTGCTTTGCATTTATATACGGATACGTAGCCAGATTTTTGTAACATACAATTGTCAATACATCTCATACAATATAAGGACGAATCTCATTAAAAATTATCTCACACTGTTCCTAGAATGGATCCGACTGATAATAAAAGTAGATACAATCCACATGGAGCAATTTCTCTTCTACTTCAGGACTTTCAGAAGAAAAGCTCAGTAAATGGGTAACAATCACTGACAATATTGTTTCTGTATACTAATATTCATAGAAAGCAACATGGGAATGTTATCGATCTGTCTCATTGTGTAGACATATTGACGTAAAATATTTGATGTGTTGATTGTTCCAGAAATAGTTTCATCGTCATATTAAAATGAGAGTTTATTTTCGAAGTATTTGATTTTCAAATTAAATAGACAAAAATAATTTTCATATTCCTGTTATGATATCAAATAAAATGAAATGATGAAATTGTTTCCTTCCAGCAGCGCTAATGATTACGATCATTATTACCATATGAGTGATCTGCAATTTGTGGAATACAATAAATACGGAAGTAGTACAGTTCACTCTATACTTTAGAGATAGATATAATTAATATTATCGTACCTCTATCTGAACACAGTAGGTATATTTTTAGAATGGTGTGTTGACGAACAAAGTAATGAAAACAATTTCCTACGCAGAGTTCGATCGGAAAATGGGAGACAGCTGTATGTCTAAATGGCCACCCCTACTTGTTTTACCATAACAATAGTAGCCTTGCACACTGTGAATTTTGGGTAGCTGAAATGCATTTGTCACGTTCCACATTGTCCTAATCGCTAGGTTTTAATCCCATTTTATTCGTTGTGAACTTTCTGACAATTGAAATTTGTTAGTCTTCAGTTTTAACGATTATGTTCTTATAAAAGAAAGTTAAGAAAATCTGCTTTGAATAGATTGTTACAATTTAATTGATCGCGAGAAGTTATTTTTTTTTTAATATTTAATGAGTGGTACAGTCTGTATGACTCCAAATGTACATATATTTTTCTTCAATACGATAAAAAAGGAATAGTCTGGGGTTTACGAAATATACTGTGAGGAAATATATTGTTCAAACTGAGCGGACTATAATAGCTCGCTACAAGGAACATATTTCACATTTCGGTTCAATAGACCAGAGAAGTCTGCCGCTCAATATGCCTCACAGAAGGGTTGCCGTGAGTTTCAGC